GGAGCAGTTACTCGTACGATACAATTTTTATTAAAAGTATATGGTTGTGGTATATCCATACAATGGAATATGATTTGGCAACAAAATAAAGAGCTGATACATGCTACAACATGGATGAACCTTGAAAACATGATGCTAAGAGAATGAAGCTCATTACAAAAAACCACATATTGTATAATTCCATTTATATAAAATGGCCAGAATAGGTAAATTTATGAGATACAAAGTAGGTTAGTGGTTTCCTAGTCCTGGGGGAGGGGTGGTGGTTATGAGTAGGTCATGGAAATGTTCTAAAATTGATTGTAGTGATGGTTGCATAATCCTGTGAATTTACTAACAACGATTGAATTGTACACCTTAATAGATGAATTGTACGGTATGAGAATTAAGACCTTAATAAGCTGCTTTTAAAAGTACATAGGACAGCAACTAGAAGGATGTGCATCTATGACATACAACTATCTACTGGGGTTAGGGGAAAAAAATAACTTCTCAAACTATATAGAACTTAAATACAAGCCAAAAAAAGTTATTTCCACTATGAATTTTAATTAATAAAAAAAAGAACATAGTATTTAAAAAAAAAAGTACATAGGTATATGTATAGAAAAAATTAGGAAAAATACTAAAAAGGTTATCTCTATGTAGAGGAATTATAGATGATTTGTTCTTCTAGTTTATTTTCTAATTTGTCTACAGTGACCATATATTAATTGCATAATAAACAATTATTTTTAAAAACCACCGATTGGCTATTTGATGATTTTAAGAAATTACATTTTTTTTTTGAAGGTATGACAGCCCTGAGGCAGCGGGGAAAGACCATGAATTGCTCGAGCAGCAATTCTACTGCAAGTCCCTTGGACTTATGCCTGAGGGCATCTCAGAGCCAGGGCACATGGACATTCTAGAAGCTGCCCAGACCGTGTGGGCATAATCTGGAGCATTCACAAAACCATTCACAAAGTGGATGGTTTTTAAAAAACAAAAACAACCCTGGGGTGAGAAACCGAGATACTACCAAGTTTGTCACTTCAGATTTAAACTGCATTTGAGTTTACCAGGTCTACATCCAGATAAGTAATTTTTGAAAAGAAATTGGCAATTGGGGAATGAATAGTGCACGTTAAAAAAGAGAGAATTCTAAGACCAATTCCCTTTACTACATATATTTGTAAGCTTCCAAAGAATGTGGTATTTAGGGGCATAAAAATGGCACAATAATAACTCACCATAAAAAAAAAACTTTCCCCAAACAATCCAAAAACAGGCAAGCAAAAAGTAGTAGGTGCTCCAGAGACTTCGTAAACTCTTAGAAAAGATGAAATGGGAAGATTTCTTTTATACAAAATAACTATCATGTGAAATTACCTTAATAGGGAAAATCAAATCCAATTATGGCGATGCTAGAAGATGATGTGGACAAAAACAATCCATCTCCATGAGGTTCTCTCTCCCCTAAAATTTCTAAATCTTTGTGCTTGTACCACATACTAACTTAGATTGCACTTATTTGTAAATACGTTATCTCCTCTACTAGATTTTAAGCCTCTTGAATGCAAAAATCAAGTCTTTGAATCCCCAGGAAGTTTTGGACATTGTCGGAAATTAATCGATGGTTCAAATCATCAAAAGTTTGTAATATCAATGAGAGGGTATAATGATCAATGACACATTATACCATTCTCAAAAAATTTACTGAAAATCCAGGAAAAATACAGATACATCATGGTCACATTGGTAAGAGAAAATGCTTGCCTAGAGATAAACCAATAATAGCCAGGAATCCCCCCTTTTTAAGAGATTAGATGCTGGAAGAAAAGGGGTTGTTATATAGAGTGCCATAACATGTTCTTGACAAACATCCTATTCTGCAAAACCGTACACTAAAAATAACAGGACTTATGGGGAAAAGCGCTCAACATCTCTGAAACTTGGCACCTAGAGCACTAACGAAAACATTAACAATACTACTTAAATCCTAGCACAGTTAAATCTCTCCCACTGTGTGCACCTCGCATCTTCAGCAGCCTTAAAGCCTGGGGCCCCTGCTTCTCTGAGACGTAAGTCCTGGGGGGAGACTATTTTCATAAAAATTAACCCAAAGATTATTAATCCATTGTTTTCATCCAGGAGGAAATGTCTCCGCGGCTTCTTCATTCGCACTTTCAGCATTTCATGTGAGGCCCTGCTTCCGTGAAAGAAAGATATTTCTGTAGATTTTCCATTTTTTCCTTACGGTCTTCATATTTTGCTATGGCTGACCCTTTAATTGTGAGAAAGCTTGTCTTTGATTGTTACAAAACATTTAATGTGCTGGTAAAAATCATGCTGGAACCAACACAACTTCTGGGTTATACTAACATCATTTCTGAATGCATGTGAGGTGATTATGTCAAACAAACACATTTTTAGCAGAACAGACAGACTGGTAAGTGGCTAACCCAGGTACCGGCATACATGACCTGAGTTTATAGAAGGTGTAGTTGTAATGATGACAGCTAGCAATAGTTACTGAGGCTTACTATGTGGCAGGCATGATGCTAAACACTTTATATGGATTATCTCATTTATCCTTCACACTGACTCTATGAAGTAGATAAAGAAACAGATATTTAACAAGATTAAGTATTAATTTCTGCCCAAGGTTACTTGGTGTAGAGCTGTTAAATGGTGAAGCTAGGATTTGAACCCAGATCTTTCTGACTCTATGGCTTCAGCTTTTAATAACCACAATGAAATAATATTTCCATCCAATGAAAGTGTGATTTTACAATCGTAACTGCAATGTAGCCCAACACTCTTTATGCAACTATGTAAACAGAAATGCTGATAAGGTGTATGGACCTAGAAAACCACTACACATTGTAGAGTGCTTGTTATTTTTCCAGACTTAAGCTTTCTGGCTAGGACGTGAGGGAAATCTTTGGACACAGCCAAAGGAGAATTCCAGCAGTGTGACACCTCCTTTTCAGTTCTTTCCAGCTGGGTCAGAGGCCTGCTGTGATGACTCAGGCTATGCAAGGGCCTTGGAAGGGACACAGAGGCGCACGCCGGAATTCCACACAAGACATCTGACTCCACGGGGTGGGGGTGAAGGGAATAATGCCGGGGCATTCATACCCAACGAGAGCCAGGACTTCAGGCGTGGATGCCAACAAAAGAATTTTGGTGGAATTCTGACTCTTTATTTCATCTAAATTCTATTTAACAACTATGAATTACGTACTATGTGCCTGGAATTAACCATGCCAAATGTTGGGGCTACAAAATGGAATAATCCATCAAGACTTCTCAGGCCTGGGGGGCTAACTGTAGGCATTTCATTGAACATACTGTTTGCCAGGCGCTCCTCCTGGCCCTTTACATGAATTAACTCATTTAATTCCCACAACTCTATGATATACGGTCTAATATTCTCCCTGTTTTATAGCTGATGAAACTGAAGTGCAGAGAGGTTAAGGAACTTGCCTAAGGTCACACAGCTGGTGAGCAATTTGGACCTACGCTGTTTTTGAGTCCAGAGCTTACATTCTTAACCTCTTCCCTGAACTCTCTCTCTAGTAGAGGGAGACAGAGGAGTTAAAAAAAACTGTAATGTGAGGCGATAAGAAAAATTATAGACATATGTACACAGCGGAACATGAGTAGAGGAAAAAGTGACGCATTCTGCTTGAGGTGGTGGGGAGGATGGCGCTCTGGGAGGAGGGGCAGTCCAGCAAAACCTTCCTAGCAGATGTCAAATGGCCATCAGGGACAGGAGACGAAGCAGCACGGACAAAGGCACGGAGGTGGGGAATGGCCGGCATGCTTGCGGTTTGCTGTTGCTGAAATAGAAAGTAAACAGGGTAGTGGTGGCAGGAGATGAGGGCACGGAAGTAGAAAGAGATCAGACAGAGGAAGAATTCAATTCTGTGAAGTGGCCATACCAGGGAGTCTGTTTTTAGGTAGGAAATACTGAAATAGGTTTTAAACGAGGTGGTGGGGGGTGATATAACCCAATTTGCCCTTTCCAATCTGGCTGCAGTGTGAAAGGTGGAATGATGGGGTGAGACAGAGGACAAAGCCCAGCAGTAGGGGCTCCAGTGAGGAGACTGGAACAGCAGTCCCAGTGAGAAACCAAGGCACAGGCGATGGGAATGGGGATGGAGGGATGAGTAGAGAGATTTTCGAGATCAGTAGGACTTGTTGATTCAGGTGAGGGCTGGGGAGGTGGGAAGAGGAGGTTTCTCCATTAGAGTAAGGCTTGATTCTCAGAAAGACCTCACTATGTGATTCAGGCCAGCTCTTGACCCTTGTCCGGGAACTTGGACCTGGGGGGGTACCGCATTTTTAGATGTATGGAACTTGACTGTGCTTAACACCTAATTCCCGGTACCATTATTTTCACCTTCCTTCCTGTAGTGTCAGAAGCTCCCCCTGAAGAAAACAGTGATGCTTTACTCTGCTGATGATTATTGGCTTCATAATATGTCATACACAGCCACAGAGCCACTCTGCCTCTTAGCTGGGGATGCCCACTGACGGATAATTACCACCTGGTGTTCCTGTACTGTAATAACGATCATTTATCTCATTTTACCTTATTTCCTGAAGTAACATTCAAAGATGGATAAATGACCCCACTCCTAAGATTGGTGGAGAAAACCAAGAACCAAAAGCCAAAAAGAAGATACATTTCCATGCTTACAACTTCCTCCCCTCTCTTAGCGGGTCGGCACCTGCCTTTCTGCTGTATTCCGGCCACTAAGTGGGACGCTCTCAAGCTCTGTGGAGCTGAGGGTGTTGAGGAGTGGAGCCCACTCAGCTAAGGGCGAGGCCACAGCTGGGACGATGACTCACGCTGGATCCAAAAAGAAAACAAATGGTCTCAGGAATTTGGTGGTGATGGCGTAATGGTCGGGATGAGGAGATGTGGAGGGGGGCCACTGCTTTTCCAGGAAATTGGTTAGTGAAACAATTCTGGTGGGAAAAGACTAAAACAAAAAAAGTCCACTTACTGATACAAGAAATCAGATCATTAAATCTTTCCTTAGGAAAGAGGGGATTTTCCAGCCCACGGAAATAGAGCTTCAGAACGCCAGCAACTGAGTTAATATCATGGTTACTCTGGTCATCAGCCAAAGGGTTTTCACCTAAAAAAACAAGAATTAGTTATAGGCATAGTGCTTCCCTTCTTTTTTCTGAACAAAAATATGTTTCTATACTCACACACACATTTCTATATATACATGCATCTTTTAATTACACTTTATGCAAGATTATATGGTACTAAAATTAAAATAATTGGTTTAGATATCCCACCCCATGATTAAACTAAAAATAGTTGGCTAAAATAAAGCTTTTTTTATCTTATGCTACCAAATAATCCCTTACAAGTTACCCAAATCTTAAAATAAAATATTGTGGGATTTATAATTTTACCTAACTTTCTTTTCTAAAGCTAAAATCTGTAATCTTAGTTTGACATGAATTCAAATACTACATTCTGTGTTTCTTATCCTTCTGGGAAAAAAAGACAATATAGGTCTGTCTGGCTATGCCATACGGATCAGCAAAATTTATCAGAAATATTATAGGATTTACCTGTGAATATCTACAATTAAATAAATAAGAGTTTCCCAAAATGGCATGGTACTGTTCACAGCACATTTCAAAGCTGCCTTCAGCAATGGGAAATTTCGAAATCAGACAGAGGAATTTGAAAATGTATCCTTGATACTGGTTAGTATCAAGGAATTTGTACAAAAAGTGGAAATTTAAAAAATATACCAAAAAAATGAAATTATATCATTCTTTATGGTATGCAGTTTTAAAATACTAGGTAACTGGCCTGACTAGTCCACCTCCCTGAGAATTAAATTGAGATAAAATCCTCAACATAATATGCAGCCGTAAACAAATTCCATTTGTTATTGACAGGTCTGGTCTGCTCCTCTCTTTTAAAGTTCACAAAAATTGTACATTGCATTTTAACTTTTTTTTTTTGGCCTCTTGGGCCACTTTAGTTTCAGGGATCTGGGGTTCCTTTTTCTCTGCTCCTAGGGTGGGAAATCATTGAACACGAATTCACCAAAATATTTTTTTTTGCCCACTGTGAGAAAGGCTCACCCAAAGAGATCACCAACAAATAACAAATACTAGGGGAATTTCCAAGGAAAATAATAAAACATTTGCCTGTGGTGGCTGGCACAGGAAGCTGATACTTTCCTACATTTCAGCTCATCCTGAATATGGTCACAGAGGCTTGGAACACTTCGCCGATGAGAGGGGAGGGAGGCTGCTCTGCTCTACACTTCGTATCAGCCAGAGAATTTGGAACGGGAAAAACAATATGGCTCCATTTACCTCTTCAACTAAGGTTTCAAACTTTCAAGGGCTCTGTGCCAAGTCTGGGCAAGGGAAATGGGACGGAGGGAGAGAGGAGGTGGTCCTGTCTCTGTGCCATGATGTCCCTCCCCCTCACTCTCGGCTTGACTTCCAAGCACAGGAAGGAAGGTATAGATGTATCCAGAAGCAGACACATTACAAAGCATTATAACTGGAGAGCATTAATAACTAAGAGCCACCACTAAAGAGTCAGACACTTTCCTGGATTATACCTATCTCATCAATCCTGGAATTTTGCAGATGAGGAAACCGAGGCCAAAATAAGAGATGAGTAACTTGACCCAAATCACATGATTAGTAAACAAGAGTCTGATTTGATTCTAGGTCTGCCTGACACTAAAGTGTATGGTTTTGCCAATCATAATGTGCTAATTGACAGTTTAGTAGGATTTATTTGACAGCCAATTGTGAACCAGAGTAAGACACCAACTAAGGCCACAGGGAAGGAGTCTGCGGAAGGTCATAAGAGGAAGGAAAGAGGTCCTGACAAAGGAAGTGGACGTGAAGCTGGGAGGTGTCGCCTCAAACACCTGCTCTCTAGGCCCAGGGCTGTTCTTGCCACTCTAGAAGCCTCTCACGGGCCACCCTGGATGCACGTGCTGAGGATTATCGATGCCAGTCCTAAACCAGGATACAAAGCTTCTATACTTGATAAGGTGTTGGCTTTAGGATTTTGGCTTCATTTCTCAGCTATTCTAAATAGATTCTTACCTCAACATCTAAAATGAAGTAAATGCAAAGAGAAAGGTTGTAAAGATATACAGAATGAATATGCCACTTCACTCCACTGAAAATGATGACATTTTAAAATGATTTGCTTATAGGTATGGACATGCACTTACCTCTCTCAAATGAATTTTTAATATCATTGACTTCCACCTGGGAACCAGACACTCTGAAAATCCCCTGATGCTGAAGACCTAAAGAGAATAGAGGAAAAAAGGATGAAAGATCCCATCACATCCTCTAGTCCCCCTTTTCCCAATAATTAAATGTTAAACGAGAAAGCACATTTACTGAAATACTGCTAGTGATTGTTTTTTCAAATGAGGATTCTCTACGGCTTACCATAGAGATTGATGAACCGAATACAGCTTTCCACAATGAGGGGGATAATCTGGCCTGAGTCCTGGGTAAAGAGATGGAAACCAGTTAACTGCAAAGGAGAGGCATAAATCACACATAATAATAAAGCTCGCAGTTTAACCCTACTTAAAAAGTGATTTTCACTCTTTTATATAATCATTTCCAAATACACCTCCTTTAAAATACACCACAAGGGCCAAAAATAAAATTATACTTAACCAAAGGTATATTTCAGTTCTGGAGCAAACCAAATTAAATACATTTAAGGCAACCCTGTTTCAACTCACTCTGCTGTGCCTGGAGATGTCAAAGCTAATTCATCTCTTTTACTTATATTTAGGCTCACATACCAACACGAATACATGAATCATTCATTTTTTTTAAAGGGTATTTATACAAGTAATTAATCTAATGGATCTAAAAAGAACTCTGTGTATGGGAACCATATCATCTTAGGACTGACTGGCTGTGCTAGTCACCAAACACAACCTTCCAGCCAGCTCAAGATCCTCTCTGTGACATCGCTGATCTAGATGGTGACAGTTACAAATAGGCTGACAGGTTTCCAGGTGCATGATATGAGAATTGCTTTATAGACACTTATAATGCATCATGTATTTATTTAGTTTGCATCAGAACTTACTCATCCTTATAGATTTTTTCATGTTTTAAGGGTTATTTTTTCATGTTTTAAGGGTTAAGAAAAAAATTGCACAAATGCACATCCCACAAGATTCCATTTTCTTAGCAAGGAACATGTTTTGGCCTTCTTTTCCACATCTTGTAATATAGTCAGTGTACTCTACTGAACAAATGTGAATTCTGGAAATGTTTTAAAACACGTGTAGGATGACACATGAGATGAAGGAGCTGCTGAGGCCACAGTTAAGTATACCATGCACTCCACGTAGTTACAGAGGATTACTGACTATGGAGTTATTTTCATGGGCTTTTAAGACTCTGCTCTTTCAGGAATTAGATCTTTAAAGGAAACATGGAGGTTCAAAATGATTAGCTGACATCAGGTACTAATTCATGAGGAACTTTATTTTGAATAAACACAAGAGGAATCTGGTTGTCTTAATGTATTAGACCAGTTCAGAATCCACTAACATTTCCAATTAAGCAACAGGGGAAGGATTGGGAAGAATGCAGTTCAGCAATTTAAATTCTTTACTATTCCTAGAATGGGTAATATACTTCTTGAGGAATAGTTTTATTTTAGGTTTTACAACAATCTAAGCAGTGAATATACCAGCTATTGGCTCAATTACCTCTGGAGTCTGTATTAAGTTTCTCTAATCAGTTAATTTGTTTTAGGAGCATAAACTCTATTAATTTCTTAAAGAAAATCCTTAAGAATAAAAACTCTTTTTAGTGTGGACTAGCTGGTTAAGAATAGCAATGGAATTACATCAAAATTTACTGAATATGTGAGGGGATTTTTCTTTAAGATACAAGTGTGTTTTAGGGGAAGTAGCCTTTATATGAACAATTCATGTAACACTGTAGTCTAAAAGAGCAACAAATATTTAAACGTAAGTGATAAAAGGAGAATATTAGTTTGCACCTCCGCTGAACTTAGTATTAAAACAAAAAGAAAAACAAAGAATAAAAGGTTATTAAAAGGAAAATGTTTGCGCTAACAAAGTTCTAAATAAAAATGTCTTAGGTTTTCGGGCTGCCCCCATGGCTTAGTGGTTAAGTGCGCGCGCTCCGCTGCTGGTGGCCTGGGTTCGGATCCCGGGCGTGCACCGACGCACTGCTTCTCCGGCCATGCTGAGGCCATGTCCCACATACAGCAACTAGAAGGCTGTGCAACTATGACATACAACTATCTACTGGGACTTTGGGGGGGAAAAAAAAAAAGTCTTAGGTTTTCATATTATTTAAAAAATATTTTCGTCTCTACATTTACTCAGGTAATTGCTGATCTTTTAGCTATTATCGGTATTTCGTTCAGATATAATGAATTTTGGAGTCAAAAAGTAATGAGTGTGTGTGTTTTAATTTAATTCCATGGATGCCAGATGCTTTGGGAGAAAACATTTTACAAGTGAAATGGAGGGCTATGCTCCACGTACCACTCGAACAAATCCCTCTGTGTCTTGATTTCCCCACGGGAAAAAGAGGAAAAATGACTTTGTTCTTGCTGTCTTACAGCGATATTGTGGGGACCTCAACGGATCGGCACTTTTCACAGGTGTAGAGAGATCTCTCTATCTGCTGTTTTACTTCTGTTACCAAAGTTTCTTTAGTATGCCATCTGGGATGCTGAAGAGCCCACAGAAACGAATTTTCCATGATGACTGGTTTACTCCTTCTTTGGTACCTAAATTTGGTTTCCTTTAACTGTTCTTAATGAAAAATCTTTAAAAAATATAATATGTGCTTTCCCATCAACTTAAGCGGTCCTTCTCCTACTGTGTCATCAAATATCACCGAATCATACATCTGCTTCTTTGAGTTTTCTATATTCTTTCTCTGCCAGGCCATCGGCTGCACAACTCAGTGCTTTCATTTTATTGTTCCCTTCTGTCCATCTGATTTGCCCCTGCTTATAAGCCCTGGGCTGGGAAACTGGATAATCAAACTTGACAATAATTTTATATTAAATTAGAGCCAATAAGGCTCTTCTGGGTTTAGGTTTACGGCAGTGGATTTGTGATTGCTATTTAGGTTATTCAGTGGCTTTTCACTTAATTCCAGGGTTAGGGCTCATTTTTAAGGCTTCCAGAGGTTTTTAATCTCTCTATACATGTATGTGTGATTCCACCTGTCAATCTGTCCATACACATGCCACAGGCACACATACACATTTTTTAACCATTAGCGCGCATATTCAATAAAAGATCCGTCTTTTAAGAAAGTAAGACATCTGTAACATACTATTAAAGGGGATTAGCAATGATGTGGTTTCCTGCATCAATTTAGTCTTCAGAAACATTGCAGCTCATGCCATAAAATGTTAGCTGTGAAAGTTCTTCTCTTTTTTGTATAATTTACACGAGGGTCCAAAATCTAGTATTAAATGTGCATTTGGTATTAACACTGACTTTCCTTAATAAAAGCCATCGACTCACATTTGGTACATTTGCCAAATACACAATGTAAAAACTAAGAGTTTATCCAGTTTTACTAGAGAAGACTATTCCTCTTAAAATCAGTGTCTGATTTCTATAATTCCTTTCTAAGTAAAACCTATATATAAACTTGTCTAATTTCCAACTGCAAACATTTTTCTTTTAAAAACCTTAAAAAAATCTACAGCCAAGAATGACTATGATTTGAAAATGATACGAAGAGCGAAAGAGGCTGTGCCCTCACGGCCCTCTAGCACTATACCTGATGTCTCGCGTGCGAGTTCCTTCGTCCTCGGCTAGAAGCATTATCAGAAATACAGGATGAAAAAGAAGACAGTAAACACAGCAGAGATTCCAGATCCAGAACACAGGGTCTTACAATTTACCCAATATAATGAATTCCTCAAGTCAGGGGAAATCAAAACTCTTGCTGTGCTTCAGAGCTACCCTAATCATGGACTTGAAAAATGTATTTTGTGCCACCTCATTTGCACGAGTGAAAACAAAACATTTTATCGGGTAGCTCTTTTCCTTTTTGCACAAATTATGGCTTTTTTTTTTAATCAAGAAAGAAGGCTTTCTTTTTGCCAGCATAATAATACCCACATTTATTCCCTCTTCTGAAGGCACTCAAACCAAATATTCTTTCCTCTCTGACTTCAGGAAATATTATATTGATTTTCTGGGAAAGCAAAGAGCCCCAGGACAGACTTGGACATAATGACCTGCCTCCTTTTACGAGAGGCTGAGACCATTATAGTAAGAAGCGTGGAGATCAGCCACCCAGATGGCTGGTGCCAGTACCTTGACGAATGTTTCCAAATCCCCATTAAACAACTTAGCATTATACTGGGAGCGGGGTCTGGACTTCCTGTGTTTCTGGGGTTTAGGGGGAACATTTGGAGGCCTAAGGGAAGGGAATATAATTACTGAGCATGGCAGAAATCAAACAATAAATGAAACACCCATAGGTCACATCAAAATTACAAAACACAGGGATTCTTGTGTTCCTTCCCCACCCCCATCCATGGGGAAAACGGTCCTTCCCCTTTCCCATTTATTTACTTGTACTTATGTATCAGAAACCGTACAGGCTATTCATTCAGATTGCTCTTTGCCTGTAATTTGTAGTTGACATTGGTTTGCTACTTTGTTTAAAAATAGTAAGCATCACCAAATAGAATTGTGAGCTATTTGGCCAAGTGTTATAAACCAAGGTTTGTGTTATTTGCCTTACAGGTCACACAGAAGACACAACAGATCACAAAAATTAGGGCTCTGATAGATCCCAAAGGAATTAAATATAATACTTTTAGTTACAACATTATTCTTCAATGCAAATAACATCACATTTGTTCAATATCCCTCAAGTATTAGTGGGATTTTATTTTATGCAAAATTAACTATTAATAGATCACAAGTGAAAAAACAGAGTTTGATTTCAATGCTATTTCTGGGAGGGGGGGAGGCTACAGGCTCACATGAATTGTTATTTCTTTAAAACAAACTATCTCATCACCTAAATATTTGTAGAGCACTAGGAGGCACCCATTTATTCTGTTCTGAACTCTCCATCTCCAGTCTGTTTGCTTTGATGGCTAAGCCAGTCTCTCTGACACATGCACATCTAGTGCACTGTGCACTATATTTAGAAACCCTGCATCATCTTGCTCTGTAATTGGAGACAAGGAACCTCTTCTGTCCTCTCCCTTTAGAACAAAGAGGCCAGGATGACCTACCCAACTTCTACAACCATGCTGAATGGAGCACACGGAAGAAGAGTCCAAGACCTCTCTCTCTGGACATTCCTACTTCAACTCCTAAATCGGAAGGCTTATATGAGGATGTACCTCACACTTGGAAATTAGGTAAAGCCCTTCATTAAGCTGCAAACTCTCTAGGAAGAATTACCTTTTTACTTCGTTAAAGTTCAGAAAGGCTAGTTTAGAAACAAAATCTCAAGAATTTATGTGTAAGCCTGACTAGCTTCATAAGACATTACTGCAGCAATCAAGAGAGGTAGGGGAACAAACGTGCTGATACAGCATTCCACAGCCCAATCCTCAGTCTCTCCCAGCAGGTGGGCTCATATCGCTAACAGGGAGCACAGCAGCAGCACCTGCAGGCCCGCGGTGCTGAGAGGCTAAGAGGAGCCTTTGAGAGTATCTAGAAGCAAATATGGAAACTTCTGCCAGGCACCAGTCATAATCTGCCACTGCTGAAATTTCTGGAATCTCTTTTATACACTGAATTCTATGCCATTCACAGAGGAAAAGATCTGGTAAGTGTAAAAAAACAAAATAACTGCCCACCAGGGAATTTAACCATATGTGCTTGATTTTATCCACTCTTTTCATTATTTTAGAAGTGTTTTAAAACGTATTTTTATTCAGGTATGGTGAGGCCAACAGATCAGAAGACACTTGTCATTGAAAAGATAGTTTGTTACTCACAGTTCCCAAAAGGAAGGGGCAGGCCACTCCATGGGGGGGCCACATAGGGAAGCACCAGGGTGGGTCAGGAGGCAGAGGGAGTGAGGGGAAACGTGGGCAAGAGCCTTTGTTGTGGTTCCCGTGGGAAGGAACAGGCAAGGCAGGGTAAGCAGGTTTAGGATGGGCTAGTCTGAGTAATTCTGGTGGGCTCTGGAGCTGTCCCTAGTGGCCTGGTACCCGACTTTTGGGTGATTCGGGAAGGGCAACAGTGGCCCTGGGTGTGAAAGCCTGATAAAGGAGGTGGTGGTGGGTATGGGCTCTGGGTTGGTTGGTTTGTGTACAAAAGGCACACTGGCAAGCAAGTCCTCTCCTGTCTCTAGGAGTTGGCTAACCCTCAGAGGGACAGTCTCTCCAGGGTCAGCAAGGCCCCAAGGTATCAAAGCATCAAACATAGAAACTAGAAAATGTGGTTATTACAACAAAGTCAAACAGAGCTTCATATTTGATGGTAGCTATAAGGGGTAAAAACACAGGCTCATTTTGTTTGGTCACTGATTCGTGGGACAAGCACATCTTGCACTGGATACCTGTTCCTGCCTGACTGACAGATGCACAGGAACCCCTGGCTGGGACTAACGGAGGGATGTCTTTTGAGTCTTCTGTCAAAGGCTTGAAAATTGCCTCTCCTGATGGTTCTAAAGTAGGAGGCGAATGTGAAGATACTAAAGTTGTGAGAGGGACTTGAGATTAAACCAAACCGCCTGAGTGCTTATCAAAATCATTTGCATGGCAGAGGTGGCTCATCTGGCAGACTGGTGTGCGGACGGTTCTGGCTCTACTTTGTGTACATCAGGTAAACAGAGCCAGGGCCATTCAACAACGTCCTGCTTGTGGGCCCACCACAAAACTTCCTGATAATTTGGCTTCGTATGGAGGATGCCCACGTGTTATGAAAGGAAGCACCAGTCAGACTGATGTGAATATCTAGTCTGTTTGGCAATTACAGCTCTCACTGCAAATTAATATATTTGCATATCTTCCTTTTTAAAAAAATCTTTTTTTTGAAGTGCCTTACATTAATTATAATTTAGAAACAACAGGTAAAATGGTTGATAGTGCCAAGAGATACTATATGTGAAAAAAGCTCCATCAGCTACATATTACTATGCAGAAGTAACAGTCCTCTTCATCACTGCCATAGGGAAGAAAATGCTCAGTATCTTTGTAAAGTTTAGACAAGTCAGTAGCTGTATCTTTCTAGGTGGTTCATGAAGAAGAGGGGCTTCCTTTTGAACAAATTGCCCAGCAGGAACATTATAGAACCTTGAAAATCAACTTGCCAATTACTTAACAGACACGTCACTGTTCTAAATGCCTTTTCTCTCAAAGAGAACTCAACTTCAAAAGTGCAAAGTCTTGCTATATCAATTAGAATAATTTCTCGCTGTTGCACAAATGTTGACATAAAAAAATAAAAGTTGCCACAAACTTTTCCCAACCCAAATCCGAATCTCCTCTAAAACGGCTTTTCTTTACTCAGCAGTAGCTTCAAGATCCTTCCATGAATGAAAAGAAAAAAAAAAAAAAAAAAGTGCAGTATGGTTGTAGGTGTTAAAAGTTAAATTTTTAAAGTGAACCAAACAGGGGTAGAGAGCTCAAATGCCAAGAGTATTCAATATAGCTCTAATTTTTACATGACATAAGGGAAGTAGGAGCAGTTAGTAACTAATCATACTTTCTAGTTGCTAACACAGTAGATATGCACATAACATTGCTTGTTAATTAAATTATTGAATCAAAAGTCTTGTCAGACTATTTCTAGAAACTTAAATGTTTTGGATTAGATAAACCAAACCCATTCAATTTAGGTCTTTTTTTACTGAATCTGCTCATTAAAGAGCTTTACAGTTCCACTGGGAAACTCTCAGATCTGCCAGAGCAAATCTGGTTTTGTGAGAACCCCAAACATTTCATGTTACTGTGTTCTGTCAAGCCAAAACTGTCTTCCATGTTCATTAACAAAATATGTTTATTCTTGTAGCATTTAAATGGTTGCTTCTTGTCGAAGAGAAAGGAGAGTGAGACACAAGGTGAGTTATGATAAAATTTTTTCCTACCTTGTAGTCATATATTCAGCTCTATGACCTGCAGGAAAAAAAATGAAAATAAGTAAATTGAATGGAATCAGTGGAATGCATTTGGTAATCTTTTGCATCATCTGTCTCTTATTTTAAGATGTTGAGTTTATAATAACTCACACATTTTATGGTGGAAAACACGAGGATAGCATATAAAGATAGACAAATAATTCAAAGTAAATATTTCATAAAATCTATACATAAAATTTAATAAATTCTATAGATTGGAGAAACATGTTTCACTTGGCAATTTGAGGCAGGGAGTTTTACTTTTTTTAAACCAGACATAGATGCTTGATCTTAACTGTAAGTTTAAGGATGAAATACCAATAAAACATATCCAAGATTCGAATGTTAGTTATCCCTCTGTCTTGTGGGGGAGATGTAGGGGATCAAATAAGGTTGGGAGAACTCAATTCCCCTTAGATGAAATTGGTCTTCTTTCTATAACATGAAATCAGGGAGATAAGTTGCATTTTATAATCAGAAATGACATTTGCAGATATTAAAGTACAAGGACGTTAAATTATGCTATGTTCCACCAACTTGTAAGCTAAGAGCCTTTCACAGAGTTCTCTGTCATTTAAAACACAACATTCTTCTTACACATTCGAGCTTTTTGACTTGTTTTAAATAACAGCTCTGTATTTTTGTAGTGCTCCTACGATATGTGCTCATTTCAAGTTTGAATGTGTCTACCGTTGCTTTTGCTCTTTCCTACATGTAGGGTAGAGCAGTGGGAAGGGGTGTGGAGAATGAACCACTCAACTGGGTTGTTTGCAAAATGATGCTATGGTTCTGAAAGAGCTTGAAAAGATAGCTGGCACAGATGGGTCATGTTGTGGCACGGACAGGCGAGCCCAGCCCATCATACCACAATGCAGTGATTCAGACTTATAGGGCAAGGCCAACAGAACTATCGCAGAGAAGGCTGGCTTGTGGTGAATGAACACTTCCAGGCTGCAAAAGAGTCTTTTACTCTATTATCTGCTTTTGAATAACAAGTAACAAAGTATTTGATTAATATCTATTTACTAAATGGGGCAACAGTTAATATCAGAAAATATCTTTCTTAACCCAGACCCAGGCCACTGTAAGTGTCGGTCTACCTATCATTTAAGTGTAAATCTCTTCCTTTTGCTGGCCTTCTGCTACTTTGAGGGACATGAAAAAAGAGGTGACACAGAACTCCAGAACAATTTACAGCTATTCATAAGTGGGAGAGAAGATCTACCGGAAAGTGGAGAGGGCAGGCGGTGAGCTGAATGCAGCATGTGGTGCCTTATGGGGCATCCTTCAGCAGGAAGCTGGCTGTTCAGGGTTAAAGCACAGAGAGAGATAGGGCTGGAGACTTAGATTTAAGAGTTACTACCATTTAGGTTGTGTTGGGGCGTTGGGAGCTGGCTGAGACCCCCCAGGGTGAGTCAGTAGAATGAGTAAAGGGTTGAAGGCAGAGAAACTATGTGGCTTGTGCTGCATATTTCATTGTAACACAGAAGCATGACATAAAATACATTAGTAACAACAATAAACAAAGCCATGATGTCTAACATTTATCAGACACTGTTCTGAGCACTTCCTATATTTTAACTCACAATTTTCACAATGACCTTATGAAGCAGGTACTATTATTATTCTTATTTTACAGAAGAGACTGAGCATACAGAAAGCAGTGACTTGCCTAACGTCACGCTGTTAGGGAGTGTTGGGTCTGGCATTAGGGTCCAGATTTGTTCTAATTCTACACCTGAGCTCCCAAGTAATATATTGTAAAAATGTAAGTCTTTTTTCCCCCAGCAAATACTCTGAAAGATCCTAGAAGATCCTAGGTATTATGGCTTACACTTCTGTGTGCTCCATATGGCTAAAGCCAAATACAAAATACTGAAGATTTAATAAATATAATAAATTGTTAAATAAATCTAATAAATACCTATAAAATTAAATTGCATAACAGAGGTTGATCATTCAAGTGATCCAATAATTAAGACACTAATGATAATTCCTTAAAAATGAAATGCTTTTTAACTTTGAAATTTTGCTACTTTTGTTAAAATATCTCAACCAAATATTCTCTAGATTTAGAAAAAGATCATATATGAAATGGCTTAAAATCATTTTGCTCCATCCATTCATGGTTAATAGTATGAGATAAAAAATTAAAAACCTAAAAAGATACATTTTGATTAATGAACCAAGAGCAAGCTTTGCAAGAACTATCATTCATAGTATAACCACCATCACCACATCCATTGTTTTTGTCAGCTAATAGTACTGAGAGTGTCTCAACTGATGAATGAGGTTTTATTTTTTAATCAGTTTCATCATTAATAGATCAATAACACACAAGCTTAGAAGAATCTGCTTCCCGGAGAAATGTGAAAGCTTCCAGTGGTCTGAGGATTAGATTTCAATCCCTTTCTTTGGAAGCCTACTTAATTATTAAAAACAACAGACAACTGCCCCCCCCCCACCGCCCCCCATACAAGCCATTTGAAAGAAAAAAACGACCTATGACCCAGGATTAGCTTGTTCTTGGTACAAACACCTACTTTGACTACTCTTACAATTTCACTTGAGAATTAGGAAGTGAATTATTTTTCACACCCAAATGTATTTTATCTCCACAGAGTAAAAGGGAAAACCAAAATATAATTTGGTGGCAATCTGAGCCCCCAAACTAGATAAAACATTTAAAATGTGCACAGCTCAAACTGAACGAAGCACCCCGGATTTGGTCCCTGATGAATGACTGGTAAGGACTCCTGGCGTTACTTTCCAGGCCTTTCTCTTCCTTAAGCCACCAACACCGCAGTGCTTTTCTGCTCACAATCAGCTTCTCTTTTGAAAGTATACTTGTGCTCCTACTCACATGCAGACAATGGATTGAGTGAGGACAACCTATTTAATTCCTGTGTCAGGAACCTCATGCCCAGGGCGTGAAACAATATAACACAGAACTCAGCTTGCAGCATGCAATTTTCTGTGTTTAGCAAAAATTGCACCGATATTTACACCCCTTAACTCCAAATGTGGCACACAAAGAAGCCAATGTGAACATTAAGGTTCATTACCAAAAAAAATTTCCATGCTTCAGTTTTATGGGTGTATACAGCTCACTGACTGTGCTCGATTTAACTTTTCCAATTTAAAATCAAATGACATCACAAAAGGATATAATTGTGTTGCTGAAGGATGAAGAAGATGATGACTTTGGTCTTAACAACTCATGGTGTGTTTCTCTCTCTTTCAATCGTTTTCAAAGATTTGGGATTCTGAATTTCGACAGTGCCACTTTAAGAGCCCAATCTAGTTGCTTTGCAGTGTTGTAAATCAAAGGACTTACTGGGCCACTGGTAGCCTGCCAAGAGCCAGCAGTAAGACAGGCCAAACACATGTCTGTAGTTACAGTGTCAGCTGGGTCCGATCCACCGCTAAACCCCTGGGTTAGGCTCTATTTGTTTTACTACGAAGGCAGCTTTTGCAGCAGTGAGTCTAGTATATTTCAGAGATGTGATTTCTATATAAAAAGTCAGGACTGCCTCCAAACACACCATTTAATCCTGTGCTACTAACCTTAATTAGCCAAACCCAGACTTGGATTCCTTCATAAGGGCTCACAGTTGGATTATCTCACTGTGGGACAGGCGTCATTAACTCTGCTAGTCCCCCTAGGTGTAAGCCTATTAATGCGAACAGGGCTTGCCTGGAAGGACAGCAGGCTCACAATGGTTGAGCTAAAAGGTGGGGCACGTCCTCCAAGCTTGCCTTTTCTCTGGGCAAAGCTGCCAGGCTCAAGCCCAGGCAGTAACCAACAACTGGTGTGCTGCCAAGTCCACACGTGGGGCAGGGCCAGGGAGCAGAGAGGTCCGAAGCCAGTGGGCAGAGGCTAGTGTGTCTGCTGCCACGGGATGAGAACCACCCAGTTTCTTATGCAGAATAAATTCAGTCCGGTGAAAGCTTGGTACACCTGAACACAGCTGTGTCACCAGGACACCAGAACCCACTGAAAGAAATCCCAAGATAAAGAAATCCTGGCTTAGAGTTCACAAGGTACAATATGGCTTTACACAGGTCAGCAGCTAAAGACGGAATCTGGCGTACGGATTCAGCAAATTGGCTAAAATAGAGCCCTATCCAATAATGGCATGTATAATAATATTAACCATTGGGGCCCTCTCTCCAGGAGACATAAGGGAATCTATGCTGAATGAGCACCATAAATGTTTCAGAATGTGACCCCAAGCGTATTAACACGTGTCTGCATGCAGTGCCAAGAATGAATTCACCCACTGCTTAATTCCCTCCAACTCACAGTTTCTAAAGTGCTGTCTCCAGTCCTGTAGGGAACGACTCTGCCTGCAAGCATTCACCCCTACTTACGATAATTTATGCTTTGGCATAATGCTTTCTGCATAACGGCATTCATGCTTCTGGCAAATGACCTTGGGGGCACCATTGAAATATCAAGCATTTGCGAAAAATGGAAAAAAGAAAAAAAGACCTTACATGATTCTATGATGGAAAAAAGAGAAAAAAAAGGAAAAAGATTGCTGATATAAGAAAACTATTCAAAGAAAAAACGAGGTTTTTTTTTTTAAGTTCAAACCTCTGTTACAGAAGAGTTGAAAGACCAGCACAGGGAACATTCACATACCCTTCACCTAGATTTCCCAATTGTTAACACTTTGCCACAATGGCTTTATTTCCTTCTCTTTCCTTCTCTCTTTTTTCCTGAACCATTTGAAAGTAAGTCACAGACATTATGACACTCAGCAAGTGTTTCTTAAGAATAAGAATGTTCTCCCTCATAACCATAATGCCATTATCATAGCTAGAAAAATTAACATTAATTCAATGATATCATTCCATATATATTCTATATTTAAATTTCCCCAATTGTCTTTAAAATGCCTTTTATACTTTTTGCTTTTTTTTTTTTTTTTTTTGTGAGGGAGATCAGCCCTGAGCTAACATCCGTGCCAATCCTCCTCTTTTTGCTGAGGAAGACCGGCTCTGAGCTAACATCTATTGCCAATCCTCCTCCGCTTTTTCCCCAAAGCCCCAGTAGATAGTTGTGTGTCATAGTTGCGCATCCTTCTGGTTGCTGTACGTGGGACGTGGCCTCAGCACGGCCGGAGCAGCGGTGCGTCAGTGCACGTCCGGGATCCAAACCCGGGCCGCCAGGAGTGGGGTGCGCGCACTTAACCGCTAAGCCACCGGGCTAGCCCCGATACTTTTTGCTTTTTGATTCAGAATCTAATGAAAGTTCACACATTGTGTTTGGTTATTTTATTTTTTAAGACACTTTTTAGTAGTTTAAATGTTAACTTGTTTTTCTAAGTGAAACCGGCCTTTTATCTTAGAGCCTGGCATACTAACTGTAATACATGGATTCTTAGGTCATGATGACCTTTCTCCATGTGGTCATTCCCTGAGAATAATGGATCCTGTGGAGGAAACCAGAAGATAAGGTGATAGAAACACTGATTTATGGGCAAGGAAGGTTCTAGAATGGTAGGAGGCAAGACTTTAGGTCAAGAGCAGCAATCTCTTTTTGGCCTGAGTCACTCACACAACTCAGTCCCTTCATTTCCCACTCCCACCTGTATTCCTTTTCACTTTTTATAACTTTCAGCAGGATCTAGTGTGAATAAAAGATAATTCAAGTTACAGACTATACGGCACTTAGGACAGGGACTTTGCTTGTATTTATTTTTTTCCTTTTAAATTCATGAAGATGAAAAGAGAAACAGCAACATTTACACAATCCCCTTTGCTTATAATCCCTTTTTTCCCTCGGTTTTCTTGTCTGTAAAGATGGGGAAATTAATAGTGCCCAGTTAAATATACAGCTCCCAACAATGCCTCAGAACAGAGAAAGCCTTCTATCAGTGGCAGCCATTGTTGTTGTTATTACTAGATACAGCAATATACTTAATGTAATTAGATTATTTCTCAACTAAAACCAATGCCCATGGAAAGAAAAAAAAAAATCACCCAAACTGGTTTAACTGGTTTTAGACTCCAAAAAGGCATTAGATGGGACAACACATACTGGCCCATGAAAACAAAAGGCTGGGTCTGGGAGGGTGGAGAGTCCAAGAAGGGAAACAAGCCCCTGGGGATCAGCAGGTGGGGACAGGTGCTGCTCCTCCGGACTCTTCTACTGCTGGGAGCACCGAGCTCTGAAGATTCTTCCTCAGCCCTCCCTATATGTCCCTGTTCTCCAAGGTTAGCACCAAGCTGATGAAGAAAATAGTTCCAGGGAGAATTTGATTGCTACAGATACAGATAAAACCACATCTACACATACAGTGTTCCCTGTTTCTCAAAACACAAGTCCACGAGTCACACCCTTCGTGGAATATATATGACACAACATATAACCCACGCCATCTTCCCATCTATTTCAAATAACTGACCTTCTCCAAGGGTCCTCTGCAACAAGTCATGTTTGGCTTGAAGTTTTGTGATGAGATTACTACCTTCCAAATATTCTCGGAGTTTCTGCAAAAGGAAAGATTTATTTTTAACCTTTTTTTTTTTTTAATTCAGTGTCAAGGAACTTCCCACACAATATCTAAAATCCAGCCACTTTTATCTTCTAGATCCTAGAACCTTCTACTCAAAGTGTGGTCTGATGCAGACCAGCAGCATCAACCATCATGTGGGAGCCTATTAGTGGTGCAGACTCTCAGGTCCCTCCTTCCTCAGACCTACTGGAATCAAAACCTGCCTGGTGGAATCAGCTTCTCCTGGTGACGTGTTTGCACATTCAAGTTTAAGTGCACTCTGCTTAAGAGTGTTGTGTTTTAGAGGATTCTGTCAATTTTCCTTGCTAAATTTGTCTGCCTATCTGAGTACCTGAGGAGCTTTTAAAAAAGTACTAATCCTAAATCCTCTCCCAGACCGACTGAATCAGGGGCTCTGAGGGTAGACAGCAGTCCATACTTAATAAAGAAGCCCAGGATTCTGCTGCAACTCCAGAAGCAGAGTCTGGGGCCCCCAGATGAGTGGCTGGGGAAGGAATGGGCGCACCATGAAGTAGAACTGCTCCGTCTCCTGCTGGTTTGCCCTTCTCTTGGCAATGCTGGGCTTGCTCAGGTAGGTTTCCGAGACAGTAGACTTCACAGACTCCGTGGAGCGACTGTGCTGGAAGCATTCAGACACATCATAGTCCTCGATGGTGACCATGTCTTGTATTGTCTGCAAGGTGGCCTCCGTCGTTTTCTTAACCTGGGAACAGGAACGCATTTTTCACGCTAGTACGTTATTTCGTGAATCCCACAAACACTCAGTGAGAATGCACTCTGCCAGGCAGAGACGAGGACACAGGCCCTGCCTAAGATGCTCAGTCTATTAGGGGGGAGGGACAGGTAAACAACCGCCCCATGTCACCAAGACAAGGAGAAGATTTCTTCAAAATTATCCTATGGAGGATATCATCTTATATTTGAGTCCTTATAAATCCCATGTATCACTGGGTACTCTCTCAATTACATTTTTTTGTTTTAAATAGCCTTTTTAACTGAACTAAAACTACACAAAGAAAAATGCACAGACCGTAAGAGTATAGCTTGATGAATTATCAGAAAGTGAGCACACTGACGTGACCACTGCTCAGATCACGAAATACAGTATGTGACGGGTACCCTGTGCTTCTCCCAATCACCACACACTCTGTTCTCCTCAAAGGTGGCCACGACCCTGATTTCTAATCATATATTAGTTTTGCCCCTTTTATACTTTATATAAATGGAATCCTACAGCACGTGTGATTTTTGTCCTGATTCTTTTCTCAACTTTATGTAGTAAGATTTATTCATTTCTTGTGAGTATAGTATTTCATTGCTGAATATTCATTGCAAGAATACATCATAATTCATCCATTTTACTGTTGACAGATGACATTTCTAGTTTCGGTCCATTATGAATTCTACTGCTATGAACATATTTTTGTTGGGCCACACATACATGAGTAGAATTGCTTCTTATAGGGTATGCCAGATTGTTTTGCAGAATTATTGTTCTAATTTGTATTCCCACCAGCACAGTAGGAGAATTCCTGTTACTCCACTTCCTCAAGAGTTGGTATTGTCAGCTTTTAAAATTTAAACCATTTTGTTGGATGTGTGGTGGTATCTCACTCCGCTTTTCATATGCATTTCTCTGATGACTGAGATTGGGCACATTATCATATGTTTAAGACAATTTGGATTTCCTCTCTTGGAAACACTTTGCTTGAATTTCTTGCTCAATTTTCTATTGGATTATGAGTCCTTTTCTTACACAGTTGTAGATATGGATATGAGTCTTCTGTGAATTATATGTGTGCAAATATCTTTTCCCACTCTGTGCTCTGGTTTTTTACTCTTTCTGTAGTGTCTAGATGAACAGTCTCTAATTTTAATGTAATCAACTTACAATCTTTTCCTTTATGATTAGTGCTTTTTGTGTCTTATTTAGGAAATACTTTCCTATCTCATGGCCATAAAGAACTGTTCTATGTTATCTTCTAGGAGCTTTTAAATTTATCTTCCACAATTATCTTCCACATTTAGGTTGTACTCCACCTTCGCTTATCAAAGTCTAATGTAAATTGATAGCTTTACCCTTTCCTCAATGTACAGAGTATAGAACACCTTAACTCAATTTACTTCTGATTTATCTGCCATTTCTGTAACATATTTAAATATTTATTTTTGTTTAAATACAAGACATTAGTTGTTATATACAGTCAGTATTCATTTAACTTTATCCATATATTTATGACATTCTTTGATCTCTATTCCCTATATTTTTAAGAGCACCCTCCCTTGAGAAATTCTTTTTAGTGTGAGTCTGCTGGTGGTAAACTGTTTTTGTTGACTTGAAAATGTCTTTTATTTCACCTTCATTTAGGAAAGATATTTTTCCTGGTTGGTAGTTATTTTCTTTCAACACATTGAAGAAATCACTGTGCTTTCTTGTGGCTTCTTTGTTCCTGTTGTGTGAGAAGTTTGCTGTCAGTCTATCACTACTTTGAATGAACTCTGCTTTCTTTCTCCAGCTGCTTTTAAAGTTTTCTTCAATTTCACCATGATGTGTGTAGGTAAGGATTCTTAAAAGATATTCTACCTGGAATTTTTTTGGACTTCTTGAATTGTGTGATGTTTTTCATAAGCTCGGATAAATTTTCAGCTTTTAACTTTGCATTTATTTTTATAGACTAAAAATATCTTTACATAAATATCTTTATACTGTCTCTACTTTCTTTTCTATCATCTTTCTCTCTGGGAATTTCATTAGTATGTAAACATCATTGTGTTCTCTATATCTCTTACCCCTCTCTATATCTCTTTTTATTTTCTATCCTTTTGTTTTTCCATGCTGCATTTTGATTATTTTCTTCTGATTTGTCTTCCACTTTCATAATTCACTCTTCAGCTGTGTCTCATCTGATGTTAAAACCATCCACTGATTTATTAACTTAGGTTATTGTATTTTTCAGTTTTAGAATTTCTATGTGGTCCATTTTCAAAACTGTTATTTCACTGTTTATAGGTTATAGCTCCCTGCTGAAATCTAAGGTTGGCTTTCATCTCCTTGAGCACAGTAAGTAGCTCTTTACAGTTTGTTTCTGATAATCCGAATATCTGGAGTCCCTGTGAGCATGACTCTATTATTTGTAATTTCTTCTATCACTCATGCTTTCTCGTCTACTCACGTGCCTAGTTATCTTTGCTGGACATCCTTTGTAGAGTTATTTGGGGTCTAGTGAGGTTATCACCCTCCAGAGAGAATGTTTATTTATTTTTCCATGCCATTAGGGGCACTAACAGCTCAGAATCACTGGCTTTTATTTGCATTCAGAACCTTTGATGCTCCTCCTTTTGAGAACACATGGTTCCCTGTGTCAGGGGCTTCAGGCGTGGCCATGCACCTTGTCCTGCACAGCGAAATCTGAAAGAATCAGCTCAATGATTTAGTCCACAATTACAGAAAGTAGAAATATTTTCAATTATCATTTTTTTTAAAACAACAAAATACTATTTAGGGAGGAAACAATAGCAATCAGTGCTAGTTCAGACGCTTCAAGAGGTCATAGGTCATATGATGGAAAAAATACAAGAAGGAGGCAAAGAAATTTAACAGACTTAGTCATTATTCCTGGGGATATGCACAATGCAAAGGATAGATATTACTGGAAAAAAGCATATTAAAGATCATTAAAAAATCAATATTGTAAGTAGCTACTTTAAGGAAATCATGATTATATATCTACAGGCTGAATGAAAAGACTCACCATCCTGGAGGTGACGTGGGCAAGGTGGCAAAATAGGAGGTCCCCTGCTCACACACCCCCCACAGCAACAATGATTTGGCAGCCATCCATGGACAAAAGTGCATTTGTGGGAGCTTTGGTTTCCAGGTAGGAGCTTGCAAAACCTTGGTGGAGCCCAAGACCGAGGAGGATGGATTTAAGAAAGCAGGCTTGTGCCCAGGTGGCAGGCTTGCCAACCGTGGTCCCGACTACAGGTGGAAACAGCCCTGTCCCCAAGGTCCTTTTTGGCCTTGGTCCTGCCCACTAGCACCATCCACCAAGGGACCCAGGAGTCATCACGCCCACCTGTGCCTCAGATAATAGGCCCACTGACCTTGGTCCCAGCTGTGGACCCTGGTGCAGCCCATGATGCAGTTCTGGTCCCTCTCAGCCCTGGTCCAGGAGTAGTCCTACCCATCAGGGACCTGCTGGAAGGTACACTTGGCCATGCTCCAGGAGGCAGACCTGCTGACCTTAGTCCATCTGCAGATCTTGAAGTGGTCTGTAACTCTGCTCTGGCCCCTCCCAGCCACAGTCCAGGAGTAGTCCTGCCTACCCAGGGACCCGATGAGAGACATGGCCATCCATGCTTCCAGAAGCAGGTCCGCCAACCTTGGTCTGACTGCAGATCTTGAAGTGGCCCTGTAATCTGGCCCCCGACGAGCCCAGCTAGAGTCTGGGAGCAGTTCTACTTGACAAGGGACCAGGCGGGAGACATGTCCATCTGTGCCCCTGGAGGCAGACCCCCCAATGTTGCTCCAACTTCAGATCTTGAAGCAGCCCTGTAACCTGGCTCTGGTCCCTCTCTGGTAACAGCAGTCCAGGAGCGGACCTGCCCGCCCAGAGACCTGGAGGGAGACATGCTCATCTGTGCCCCCTGGAGGCAGGCCTGCAGACCTTGGTCTTGGCTGTAGACCTGAAGGACCCGTGACGCACTTCCAGCTGTGCACAGCTGTGGTCCGAGGCCACTCCTGCCTGCCAGAGACCTGTCCAGTGACGTGGCAGGTGTCATACTCATTCAAGCACCTAGTAACAGATATGCCATCTGTGGACCAGCTGCAGACCCTGAAGTGGACCCTTGTCCCAGCACCAGACTTACTGACCGAGGCCTTGGAGGCAGTAACATCTGCCCAGGGACCAGACAGGATCCATGCTCACCGGAGACCTTGGTAACAGGCCCACAAACTGTGGACCCTACTGTGGACCCAGAGGCCGCCGTGTCATCGTCAACAACACTGTTTTTCTTCTTTTCTCAACTTCCATCTCAGAAGCAAGAGTGTCAGGGTTAAATTTGGAATTATCAGGAGGAATCAAGGATGTGACAGAAAACACCAGAAACGATGGCTGGGATGACATATTATCCCAGAGGATGTTCTCGAAGAAGAATAACACCAGCTTCTGACACACAGAAGCCATGTTAATAAGTCACAAGGGGAAATATAATGAGGCAAATATAAAACAGCTAATATGAAGCTTGTAATGACTCCCCATTAGCAGCAGGCTTGGTAGAAGGAGAGGCCAAAAACGTGACAAGGAATTACAAAAAACCGAAGACTGTACTGCCCTGGAGGAGAGCCCAGGTGGCCTGGACTCTAGATGTGGATCAAACGAATGATGGGGAGAGGAGACTTCTGGGGGCTTCTGCAGACTGGCTCTTTTGCCTTTTTTCTCCTAGGACATTACGATCGTTGGAGAAAGCAAGCAAGTCTTTGTGGATTCATTCTCCAAATTCACTGTGTTAGTTTTCTAGGGGTGCCATAGCAGATTACCACAGGCTGGGGGACTTAAACAACAGAAGTTCTTGCCTCACAGTTCTGGTGGCTAGAAGGCTGAGATCAAGGTGTTGGCAGGGTTGCTTCCTTCTGAGAGCTGCGAGGGAAGGATCAGTTCCAGGTCTGTCTCCTTGGCTTGTAAATGGACGTCTTTTATGTCT